GTTTGCCTCCAATTGGCAAGAGGAAGTGGATTGAAAGTCCTTATTAACCTTTTCCTGAAGATGCTCCTCCTCCCTGGCTTAGACTGGTGTTACCACCTAACCAGAGGAAGACCCGGATTTACAATAAGATAATAATTCTCCCTCAGACTCACTCCCTGTCGCAGGATAGGTTAGACATCTGGGAGCCTCACCAAATGTGGAGAGTCACTACTCTCCTTCCTCTGCTCTTTGAGAGTTGACCGCCACCTAATGTTGCTTTTAAAAAGCTGCTAGTGGACTTTCCTGGTGGCCCAGTGAGTAAGAATCCACCTGCCAATGTAGGGGACCCTTGAGCTGCAGCTACTGAAGCCCATGCACCCTAGAGCCTGGGCTCCACCACAAGAGAAGCCACCATATTGAGAAGCCCGTGTTCCACAACAAAGAGTAGTCCTCGCTCGCTACAACTAGAGAAAGCCTGCACCCAGCAGTGAAGACCCAGTGCAACCAAAAAGAAAGAAAAAATTTTTATGAAGATAAGAAGCTGCCAGCCAAGCTCCAAATGCTTTGCTTCAAACACTCTTATGTAATAGAATGTTTATTCATATCCAAAACAGTTATGTTATCATTGCATGTTATATTACTTAGTCATTTGGGTTATTGCCTGGAAAGAAAGTTCATAGGAACTTTATTTTCTACTCTCCCCGTTAGGTGAAATTCCATAGTTAAGTGTATATCCAAGAAAGGGAGTCAGCTCCTGGCATTGGTCCTGTTAGAGATGAACCTCCCCTCCCTTCCTTTTCACTGGCTTAGACACAATGGAGCCACCTCACTAGAGGAAGATCCCATACAAGAAAACCAACCAGCAACTCTCCTCAGGACCCCCTCCTCAACAAGAGCAAGTGCTCAGAAAGGGACCAGTGACATGTAAATGTAAACCACACCTAAGTGCATACCAGATTCTGGAAGAGAAAGTTTGCATGTTGAGAAGATCAGAGATATTTTGTTTATAACTGTCAACACAATTCCAAGGACTTTTCTGGGAAGCAGATTTTGAGGGTAGCCAGCCAAAGGAAGAGGAGCATTATTTTACATCAAGCTGAAATTGTTGATATAGGTGGGCTTAACAGAGATTCTGAGTTCAGTAGGTTGTGTCACATGTGAGTGTGATTCTAATAGCTTCATAGATTGAGCAGTAAATTGCCAGGTACAGTTCTGGGTGATATAAAGGAAGTTTAGATGCCATAAAACCTGGGCATTTTGCACAGGAAGAAACTAAGACCCAGAGACATAAGAATGCTGGGTTAGGTCCAATATATGTCCCACCCATTCTCACGCTCTGTCCCCTTATAGGACCCAGAATTTTCTCTCCTCACTGAGACTAAGAAATTCATCAGTATGGGAAGCATTGTATGTGTGTGTGTGTGTGTGTGTGTGTGTGTGCTCCATCGTGTCCAACTCTTTGCGACCCCATGGACTATAGCCCACCAGGCTCCTTGGTCCATGGGATTTTCCAGGCAAGAATACTGGAGTGGGTTGTCATTTCCTCCTCCCTGACCCAGAGATAGAACCCAAATCTCCCAAGTCTCCTGCACTGGCAGGCGGATTCTTTAACTGCACACATGGGAAGCACATGGGAAGTATTGGTTCTTTTAAATGAGTTTTACTGGTTCTCCTAAAAGTATATATATATATATATGTTACTCAAGAAGATAGCTGGAAGCTGTACAATGACCATGCTTTCTTTCCTCTGCTCTGTAAGTTTTAATTTCACTAGTAGCCTCCATATAAAATAAAACTACCCACTCAGTTACCTCAACTTTGATTTAGATTAAGGTCTCATAAGCAATTAAGAATTTTAGAAAGTACTAGGACTTCCCTAGTGGTCCAGTGGCTAAGACTCTGTGCTCCCAATGCAGGGGGCCCAGGTTCTACCCCTGGTCTGAGAACTAGATCCCACATGCCACAACTAAGAATTCACAGGCCACAAGTAAAGATCTCAGATGCCACAACTAAAACTTGGCAAGGCAAATAAATAAAAACTTTTAAAAAAGAATTTTAGAAAGTATGCTTAAACTGCTACCATAAAACATAATCATATTGAGAATCAGCATTCATCAGAAAAATTGTTGGCCTTCAGTTGCAAAGTCATGTCCAACTCTTTGTGACCCCATGGACTGTAGCACACCAGCCTCCTCTGTCCTCCACCATCTCCCAGAGTTTGCTCAAATTCAAGGGGATGCAGTTGGTGGTGCTACCTAACAACCTCCTCCTCTGCTGGCTCCTTCTTCTTTTGCCTTCAGCCTTTCCCAGCGGCAGGGTCAGAAATATATGCCATCTTAAAACTTTCTACCCAGATAGTATAAATGGAATAACTCATAACTACACATATTTTTCAATTTTATCTAATACTTGTAAGAGCTAGTTTATAAATATTTTTTAAATTTAAATTGCGCCAATTTAGTTGAACACATGTATGATTTAGTCACTAAGTCATGTCCAACTCTTGCAACCCCATGGACTGTAGCCCTCTGAGCTCCTCTGTCCGTGGGATTCTTCAGGCAAGAATACTGGAGTAGGTTGCCATTTCCTTCTCACTTTTATATATTTTTAAATAATAGTGTGGTGTAACTTTTCTGACCTATAAAGCAAGTATAGGGAATTTAGAAAGTGATGTTTGTTTTAGCCTTTTAAAAAGACATATCTAGGGGACTTCCCTGGTGGTCCAGTGGTTAAGAATCTGCCTTGCACTGCAGGGGATGTGGGTTCCATCCCTGCTTGGGGAACTAAGATCCCACACCCTGCACAACACGGCCAAAAATTTTTTAAAAACTAAACAAATAGTACACTGTCAATTTGGTATCATCTCTATCTAGCCCCAGCCCAGTTAGTCTTTGCACTTTTCCTTTTTTTTTTTTTAATATTCATTTATTTGGCTACGCTGGGTCTTAATTTCGGCATAAGGGGTCTTCCATCTTTGTTACAGCATGCAGGATCTTTTTTTTCCCTTGAGGCATGTGAACTCTTGCCCCGTGGGCATGAGGGATCTAGTTCCCTGACCAGGGACTGAACCAGGGTCCCTAGGTTGGGAGCTTGGGGTCTTAGCCATTGGACCACCAGGAAGTCCTGCCACTTTGTCATCTTAGGTTTTTACAAGTGCTCATTGGTTTCTTATAATTAAACAAAATAGACACTCTGTTTAACTTGGAAGATTTCATGACCTTTGTAATATCTCAAATTCAAAGATACTCATTTCTGAAGGAAATTATTTTTCTTTGTTATCCTTGAAGTACATATAGTGCCAGTCCTTGGGGGACTGACAACTTTGGCAAGCATACTATTTTTTTTAATTAGAGTTTAGTTGATTCACAATCTTGTGTTAGTTTCAGGTGTACAGCAGAGAGATTCCAGGTTGGTTTTATTTTTTTTTTCTGGTAGGTTACATTACATTACTGGCTATTACAAGATATTTGGTGTAATACCCAGTGCTATACAGTAAATCCTTGTTGCTTATCTATTTCATGTATAGTAGTTTCTATATTTTAATCCTGTACTCCTAATTTGTCTCCCCCACCTCTCTCTGGCCTCTATGGAGAGGGGGTGTGGCCTCCAAGGAGAAGGGATGCCTCTGTGGGTGTGACTTCCAGGACCCTGTCATACCCTTACTTACAGTTCTTGGTGACTGTTTCCTAAGGGTCAAGCCTAATTTCCTGACGTGAACCACATTGTTCTGGAGACTGTCCCTCTTTCCAGGCAAGAATACTGGAGTGGGTAGCCATTCCCTTTTCCAGGGGATCTTCCTGACCCAGGGATCAAACCTAGGTTTCCTGCACTTCAGGCAGATTCTTTACCATCTGAGCCACCAGGGAAGCCCCTTTGGGTTCTCCTAGATAGACCCCTTGGAAAAGACCCTGATGCTGGGAAAGATTGAAGGCAGGAGGAGAAGGGGATGACAGAGGATGAGATGGTTGGATGGCATCACCTACTGGATGGACATGAGTTTGAGCAAGCTCCAGTTGGTGATGGACAGGGAAGCCTGGCGTGCTGCAGTCCATGGGGTTGCAAAGAGTTGGACACAACTGAGAAACTGAACTGAACTGAGATAGACCCCATCATTAAATTCTGCTCCCACCTCTCCACTGTTTATTTCCTATTCTTCCTTCAAGGATCAGACCAAGCACCACCCATATGTCTTCTGCCAAACTAAACAGAATCAGAAGCAAGAAGCAACTTTGATCGTACTGTAAAGGAAACACTCTGGCTTATGTTTACTGTTAGTTGCTATTTTAAAATATCCACAGACAGTCATATTAAGAAATCAAATTTCCTAGTTTATTTTTCCAAAATTTTAATCAGATACAGAAGTTGGATTTTACTGACTCCTTTGTTGTCGCTTGTTAAAATAATGAGATTTTTAGTACTTTTCCAGCTAATCACTTTTATTTGGTGCTTCCCAACTAATGAAATGCAAATGGGTTACAGATAAGGATCCCTTGGGCAAAACACAGGCCAGATACCTCCAGCTGAGAGTAGTTTCTGTCGTTTAACCAGTTTCCTTCTATTGATCATTTTCTGAGTGAGTCATGAAATGAAAATTGTGAGAACTGCTGTGTTAATGTTAATTGCTTCATGTTGTGTCTGGTTTCAGGACAATTGGTGAATCCCACCCGGTTATGCTGTAACTACTGTAATGATGTAAAGTAATTAGCCTCCAACTAATAAAAATTAAAAAAAATAAAATAAAAATAAAAATTAAAAAAAAAATAAAAATTAAAAAAAAAAAAAAGTTATGCTGTATATTCTTCTGCCAGTATTTGACTTAGTATGCATGTGTGCATGCTCAGTCACTACAGTTGTGTTCAACTCTTTGTGACCCAATGGACCATAGCCCTCCAGGCTCTGTCCATGGGATTCTCCAGGCAAGAATACTGGGGCAGGTTGCCATGCCTTCCTCCAGGGGATCTTCCCCACCCAGGGATCAAACCTGCATCTCCTGCATTGCAGGTGGATTCTTTACCACTGAGCCACCGGGGAAGCCCTTGATTTAGGAGTTTGGACTAAATTCTTTTCTTTCCTTAATCTAAAATGCCATTTTTCTTGTCATTAAACTCTATTTAAGTTCAAAGTCATACTTGATTCTAAAGGTATGGAGTAATGTGTATTATACCCTATTCTATTCTTGAAACTGTTTGTATAAATGTGGCTATTACCTGCTCAATGGGAGATCAAATGATCAAGGAGGAAGGGCAGGGGTGGGGAGGAAGAAATGGGAATGACTTCCCTAGGTGGTGTATCTAAAGTCAGATTTGTTTATGGGGGTGTGGACAGTGGAAAGGTGATTTGGTGGATGGTGGAGGTTGGGAATAGGATGGGGTTTGGTGGAAGAGGGCTGAAACAACCCATGGCTGGGGGTGCTCATATGGCCACGCTGTTTTCCACCAGGCTGGGCCGCAGGTATTCATAGGGCCAGTCCAGCTGGGCATTCCGGATCTCGATGTCTTTTTCCAGGGCAGCCAGCTCCTCCCTGAACTTCTTCAGCACAGCCTTGGGCTCAGGGCCTGAGAAGTACTCTTCCTCATGCTGACCCAGAGCCACCTGGGACAGAGAGAAAAGGCAGCTGAGAGCTTTGCTGCCCCTCAGTTTGGAGTCCCACACCTCCCTGTACCTGCCCCCTTCCTCGGGACCCAGCGCCTAGCTCTCACCATGATGGGCTGGCGTCTGCCCAGTTGCCAAGTGATGGACATCTGGAGAGAAGCCTGATGGAAGTTCGGCAGTGTCGCCATCACTTTCTCCAGTGTCACATCCTTGGTGGTCGGTGGGGGCAGCCGCATTGTGCAGGGTGCGTTAGGAACCCAAGAGTACCAGTCCAGCTACAAAGGGCAAATATCTAAACTCACTGTCTGCTAAGCATGAGACTCCCTCAGCCCACCTGCACATGGCCCCCTTCCCCACTCCAGGCACAAATGCCCAGCTGGCCCTCTGTGATAAGTACCTGGCCCAGGTGAGTGGAGGAGTGCTGGCCAGTGCAGGTGAAGATACACATGGTCACAAAGTGGCAAAGCTGGTCCTTGGACTGTAGGGTGATGGGAAACCCTGCAGTGGATAAGGAGAGTTAGAAGCTGGGAGGCCAAGGCTAGAGGCAGAGCTCATAAAAACTGAGGAGGAGAACAAGAGAGGTGAGAAGGAGACCAAGGGCTCTCAGTAACCATGGTGGGAAGTGACTTGAGTGTGGGTTGGGGTGGTGGAAGCAGGGAGACTTTTGGGAGGGTCCCACTCAGTGGGATGCTGGTGCAGCTCACACTGGCTCACAGGGACCAAGGATGTCAGATGTTCAAGTATTTAGCAAGCCAGTTGACATCACCCTGGTAGTCACAGTGGGACTATTTACACCATGGGGATGGGAAAATGCTATAAATCAGGGCTGTTTGTTTTGTTTTTTCTCAGAGAGCAGCACTGGTCTCACTGCATCTGGGACCTCGAGGGGCTCCCCCTGCACAGTATGGAGACCTGCCTCTAACTGAGAGGAAAAGGAGTCTGGGAAAGCTTTGGGTGTGTTCATAGGAGTTGGAAATGCTTCTGGAAGGTTTCATAGAAGTAGAGAGGATTCTGGGGAAGTTCTAGGGAGGAGTCACATGTTGGAGTCTTGGGGCTCATCCTACCTCGGTCCTGGGCCCCCAGCAACCCGATCTCAGTGATCTCTCGACACCAGGCCTGCAGCTCAATGTCGTCTCTCACAGACTCGTCCATCTTATAGTGGAGATTCACAATCCCCTCCACATAGCTGCCAGCGGAGGGGTCAGGGTGGGAGAGTGGAGGCTGATAGCACAGAGCTCCCAGGCCCTCTACTCCTTACCCACATGGCCAGGCCAGGGCCTGCAGCCCCCTGGCTGGGGCACAGACCTCCTCTTCTCCCAGCCTCCCCCCACCGCCGCCCCTGCCTTCCTCCCACCTCACCGAGAGAGAATTTCCCAGAGCCTCAGGGCATCTTGGGCATAGAAAGAAGACTTGACTCCCAGGAGCCCCCGGTCAGCCAGGTCATCAGGGGGACAGAAGGAGCTATAGGTTAGAAAGGCTCCTGCTCGCTGGAGCACCTCCACATGGCCGCCCCCACCTGTGCTCACCACCTGAGAAGCAAAGACAGTGTGGTCAGGCAAATCCACCTGCCCTCAGGCCAGAGGGAGCGTGAATCCCACTTCCTCTCCTCTTACCTGGTCGAAGATTCCGAAGTCAGAGACCAGCCCAGTCCTGGCCCGGATGTTAATTTCCATGGTGTATCGCAGGTGTGGAATGAGAAGCTGGAGGGAGAGGAACAGGAAAGGACAGGGTCAGAAGACAGCTGTTCCTGGTCCCTGAGGGAAATACGGGCTAAGAAGCAGGAAAGTCTTCAGGAAAAGCAGACTGAAGTCCAGTGGCCTCTCGACAATAATGTTCTTTGATAATTGAAGGAAGCCATTCTTCTTTTCTCTTCGTGTAAGACCGATCAAGGTCTAGCTCAATGTTTCTCCACCTTTTTTTCATTATCACTTCTCTAAGGAGGCTTCTTAGATTTTTTTTTTGCACCCTTACCTGCCCCATGACATTGTGCTACAGACATGCCATCTGTAATGTACTCTATATACATATATCCTTTATACAAAAAAATAAGATTTTTTGCCTCCCCCAGAACATGATCTGATTCACTACCTCCAGAACTTCACCCAGTTCCCTCCCCTTTGTCCATTACACTCATTTTCTTTCTGACCTTCAAACACACCAAGCTTGTTCCTGCCTCAAGACCTTGGCACTGTTTGTTCCCTCTGGCTAGAGCAATATACCCCTTCCTCATCCTATGACTGGCTCCCTGTAGTTTCTTTTTATTATTTATTTACTTTTAGCTGCACTAGGTCTTCCTGGCTGCACTCGGGCTTTCACTAGTTGAGGCAAGGGGGAGCTCCTCTCTTTTGGGGAGCAGGGACTTCTCATTGTGATGGCTTCTCTTGTTGTGGGGCCTGGGCTCTGGGCATGTGGTCTCAGTAGTTGTGGCCCACCAGCTTACTCCTCAGAATCTTCCTGAACGAGAATTGAACCTATGTCCCCTGCACTGGCAGAGGGACTCTTAATCACTGGACCATCAGGGAAGTCCATCCATATAATTTCATTCTCTCTTCCACCTCCTTAAAGGAGCATTTCCCAACCACCCAGTCTAAACTCACTATCACATCACTCTACTCTGATTCTCTGCAGTGCACTCATCACAGCTGATCTATTACAATACTGTCTGTTAGTCCTTAATGGAAATGACAACCCCCAAAGACTAGGACCTTGCCTGTCTGGCTTAGCACTGGCATCTAGCATGGCTTTTTATTGCCACATCAGAGGCTCTCAAGAAAACTTAATGGATGAACACCCTATTCTAATTGTAATAAGCCACGCTGCTCTTGTTGACCTGAGCCCCTGTAACTGGCCTCTGTGTTACTGCTATCTGAGAACCCTTCAAAACTGACTGGAAAAGTCTTCTATATTATTTGCACAGTCCCCTCTTGTTGGAGGGAATCCTCAGTCATTGTGTATTCTGTTTATATACTCTACATGTAACTGTGCTTTATACATAAAAAGTGTAAGATTTCTCACTTCCCACCCCTCATCCTCCCACCACTCCCCACCCCATCAGGGAGTCACTTTTATCTCCTCAGCAAGTGATAAGCCACGCTCTCACATCTTGTTCACTTGTCTTTTATTGGTTTTCTCCCCAAACGCTGAGGTTCCACAGAGAAGGTGCCTGCAGAGATGGAACCTCACTGTGGGGTAGAGAGTCTGGGGGCGGGGGGAGGCAGTTTAAAGTGGTACCTTGTACATAGGATGTATAGACGGAAGGCACCTCCTGGTGGCCACAGCGATGACCTCAGCCATCAAGTGTCCCCTCAGGAGATGAGAGTGCAGCTCGTGAAGCTGGAAGTCAGAGCTCCGGACCCAGCACTTGGCCAGCAGCCAGGTCATCGGGGGATCCGTGGGCAGGAAAAGCGGTGGGGGTGGGGACCCCTTGTGTGGCAGTTGGAGCTGGAGCGGGGACAAGAGTGGGGGGAAGGGAGGGCTGAGGGCCAGTGCACAGCAGACTCCCGCGCCCCTTGCATGTTTAAGCGCTTCCCTCTCTCTCCAAAGTCACTTAGTGTTCTCTGTCTGACTGCTGCCACTCCCCTACTGCCTGGGTCCTCTCACCTGGATGACCATGGGTAAGAGTTGCCCATCGGGCTGCAGTTTCAGCATAACCAGAGGGGCAGCCACGTACTGCTGGGTACACAGGATGACGTTGGCCTTGATTCCATCCAGCAAGGAGAAGTCAGCTTCAAATAGTGTGCCTTGCTGGATAGGGGCAGAGGGAAAGGGCTCCATCAACATAAGGCATCTCTTCCTGCCCTGATTCCCCGAAGGATGAAAGAACTAACTTGGTTCTGGGTTTAATACCGGGTAATTTAATACTGGGTAATGGTTCCTGTATTTACGGCCTCATATAATTCTTAGCTGCACTTGAATTAGCCCCAGGTTTATGAAAGAGGAAACTGATGATCAGAGAGGATAGATATGTTGCCTGAAGTCACACAGCTTATAAAACAGCAGAGCCAAGATTCAAGCTAAAGTCTGTCTCACCCTAAATCTCATGAGTTTTCTCTTTTTTTCAAATGTACTATTATCTTGGGGGAGCTGTGCTGGGTAACACTAAGGCTCTTCTTGCAGCACCCAGGCTTTCTCTAGTTGCGGTGTGCGGGCTTAGTTGCATCACAGCAAGTGGTTTCTTAGTTCCCTGACCAAGGTTTGAACACATGTCCCCTGCACTGGAAGGAGGGTTCTTTACCACTGGACCACTAGTAAAATCGCCTGAGTTTTCTCTCTGAATTGTTCCGTGCTGATCCCATCAAAAACCCCAGCCCTGATCCTGATTCTCTTACTCCACACTCTCCCTAAATCCCCAGTTATAGCTCTTCATTTTGACTCTGTCACCCATCACATTCTCTCCCTCCACAGCATGCTATTCTCATTAGGAGAGGAGAGCCATGGAGGGTCACCCCAGGATCAGTCAAGATTTCTACTGTGGAATTCCGTCTTGCCATCTGGCAGCAGGCTGGGTCCACAGTGGACCCTGCAGCAGCACAAACGCTGACCCCACCCCCATCCCTCTGTGCGGTCTCCTGAGGGCTCTTACTACTCACCTGGAGCTCCTTCTCCAGCTCGGCCTGCAACTCCCACATCCCTGGAGGAAACTCCAGGCGGGCAGGAAGGCGAACAGAGCGTCTCAGCAACATGGGGTTGGTGCCATTGAGAAACTGGTACCCAAATAAGGCATCCTCCTTCCAGGAGTCCCGCACCCGCTCTGGGGATGGCATTTTGGAGCTTGCTGTGGGATCTGAGCTCCTGGTCCTTCCAACCCCCACCAAACCATCCCCACTTGACCCCAGCCTACCAGGCCTCTGGTCTCCCACCCCTAGTTCCCTAGAATGGGTAGGATATGGGAGTAAGGGTCTTGGGATAAATACTGGGGTAGGGGTACTAACCAGCCAGCTTGCTCTGCCCACACCAGAAAATCCTGTTGAAGTCATCCAGACTTTTCCAGCAAGTCAGAATATTTAAAGAGTCTTTGATGGCTAGGTCTGCCAGCCTTTGAGGAAGGATGGGTGAAGAGTTTGTTATTCTCTAAATCAAACTTTACAACCCTGTGCATCCCTCTTGGGCAGGTCCAGCCCTATGAAGTCCATAAGCCTGGACTGACCACTGGACCAGGAAACATCCCTGTCACCCGGCCTGCCTTATTCTTACCCCTTGGTCAACGAGGCCTCAAAGTCAATTCTTTTGTCCTCTAGAAATCTCTCATCTACAGGAAGGTCGTTTATTGTGGCCCCAGCTATATTCAGAATTAACCCGTCCTTCCAGTTACCCCACCTGCGGTGGAAAAGAAACCAGGCATTGGTACTGGGGAAGGGTCAGCAGCTCCCCGTGGGGTCAGGAGGCAGGGGTGGGGCTGACCGGTACAGCTTCCTTCTCTCTGCCAGCTCCTCCTCCCTGTGTTTCTTGAACAGACCTTGAGGGTCATCGACCACCGTGCGACCTGAAAGTGGGGAGAAGGGCAGGGGCTATGAGGCTCCTCCTGAGAGCCTCTCCCCTGTCCCTGTCAGGGGGCCCTCTGCCCACCCTTGTGGCTGGCCCCCGGCCCTTCAGCATCTCTGCGGTCTCCCAGCTCCCACTGCCCTGTACCAGCTGCTGCATCCCGCTTCTTCTGTGACCCTAAAGGCCACGCTCCCTTCTCCCCTCCCCCTTAACTTCTCTCCAGCCCCGGGGGTCTTACACTCCCAAGCCTGCCCCCCCCCGCCCCCCGCTGCTCACCGGTGCCCTCGGGCAGGCTCAGGACGCCGTCGCCCTCCACCCAGCGATAGCACGGGAACCTGAACTCGTTCCCACTGGCCCCGGGTCCCTGCACGGAGATCCAATTGCAGAACCACGCGTCATCCGAGAGGAAGTGCCGTTTGCGCAATTTCACAAACAGCAGCCGCCCCAGGTACTCGGACACGTCCACCTGGAATTCCACCTCCTGCCGGCGACAAAAGAGGATCAGCAAGTGGGGCTCTCTGGAAGGGATCGTCGGATGAGCCCTGGACGCCCTTCCCTCTGGGCCTCTGGCAAAGGGGCGCAAAAGGAGCCAGAGAGGAAGCGGACGCACACACCAAGCAATTGGCTCCACGGCCCCATTCTCGGTCATAGAATTCCTCAGCCCCGGGTGAGGTGGGGGACAGAAGATGGAGAGGGGCATGACTCCCCGAAGTCACTGACTGTGTGGAGCACTGGGCTGCGCCCTGGGCGAGCTGACTGTTGACCAGACAGTTATCGCGTCCCCCTACCCTGTCACCAGGGCCGTGGGCGCAGCACTTGTGGCAACCTGGCTCTGGAGCACAGACTCCATAGACGTTGGCGCAGGGCCTTAGTTGCTCGGAGGCGTGTGGGATCTTCCCGGACCAAGGATGGAGGCCGAATCTCCTGCATTGGCTGCTGGATTCTTTACCACGGGGCCACCAGGGAAGCCCTGGGGGGATGTTTTAAGGGTGGGAATGTATTGGGAAGAAATCGCTGACTGCAGAAGGGCTTGGAAGGGCAGGGGCTGGAACAATGAGGCGGGCGAAGAGGAAGAAGGTGATGTAGTAGGTTCGAGGGGCCATTGGTGGTCAGAGTGGGATGGACATCAGGGCATGGATGCGAGAAATATCTAAGAGATGAACTGGACTAGGCTGGATTTTTGGTTAGACGCAGGCGAAAAGAGGCGGAGGCGCGAGTGCACCTGGGAGAAAAGAGGACTGGTTCGGGAGGTGGGAAAAGGGGAGGACCTCACGTGAGCACGGTTCTCTGAAGCATCCGTGGGACAAACGTCGGGTCTGGGGGTCTTGGGGGAGAGCCGAATGGGAGATGGGAATCTGGGGATCGGCAGAGGCAAAAAGTAACAGGAGCCAGGGACGAATACCAGGTAGATGTGATGGGAGAGAGGGTGGGTCGGGAAATCAGAATGCTCGCACCAGTCGGATTCTTTCCTCCTCCTCCGCTTCCCGCGTCCCCATTCCCGCTACATCCCAGAGATAAAGCCTGCAAGGTCGGATCTAGCAACCTTACAGAAGATCTGAAATAGCAGCTTCTAAGAAGAGGAAACAGGAGACGGATGTCCGCTCCAAGGACCCCGGAGTTTTCCGAAAAGACAGAGTTCTGAGGAACCACGGGACTGTCCCAATTCCAAGCAGGCAGGGCGGCAGAAACATATTCAGCTCTTGCTGTGTGCCGCGTCCAGCCCTAAAGCGCTTTACTTAGCGGCCTCCGAGCGCTCTCCGGGCCGGGGTCGTGCGCCAGAAGCCGCCCGGGAAAGCGGGAGGCCATCTGGGGCGCGTCTCCTCTCGGGGACTCGCGGGCCTGGGGGCCAGGGGCGCAGCGCACCCCGCCCGGCTCCGACCAGCTCACCTTGCCCCTCGCCGGCCGCAGGCGCCACCCGAGCGCCGCCTCCCCGTGCTCGCCGACCAGCCACAGGTGCACCTGGTTATTGGAGCCCGCGCAGAACGAGGACCCGGTGGACACGCGGACGCGGTAGAGACCCATCTTGCCCAAAGACGTTTCGCCCCTGTTGAGGGGGAAGAAGAGAGGACGCCAAATAACCGGGCGCGAGACCCCGCCCCTCCAAAGCCTTGCGAAGTTCAGGGTGTGGGTGGCAGATCTCCAACCAACCGCGTCTGGCCGTGCTCTGGGTCCCCCAGCTCCGCGCCTCCCAGAGCTAAGCCCTGATCGCGAGAAGGCGGGGCCCTGGCGGGGGTAGTGTAGGGCAAGCAAACCAGTATCTTGGTGGGAGGAAGATCGTAGGCGCAAGCAGATGAGGATTTGGGCAGAAAACATGCAGGAAGAAGGAATCGACGTATGGCCCAGCAGAAAGATGGCGGGTGTGGCTGGAAGCCCCCTCCATCTAAACACACACACACAAACTCACGCAGGCACGTGCGTGCCTCCCAAGTTGGCTCACCTCTGCTAGGGGTCGTGCTTAAGGTTGCCAGGGGAGATGGAAAGGGCAAGGAGATGTGGTCACCACAGCATTTGTGTGACAGGTAGTCCCAGGAAAAGAATAAGAACTGTCCCAAGAACAGAGAAGACAGAGCAGCCCATCTGGCTGCCCAGGGTAACCAGGTAGAAAGGAGGTCCAACCTGTTAACCAACACTGGCGCTCACACTCTGTGACCAAGGAGAAAGAGGGTCCTGAGATGCTGAGTTAGCCACATTCCCTAAAGAGAAGCAAGCACAGTCCTCCTCTCCCAGGAGATGAACGCACTAGACAGCCTCTTAACCATAACAAGATATTAGTAATGCACACATGAGTCAATTTATCATAATGACAAAATAAGGAGTTCCAGAACTCTGGCCAAGTGAAACTAAAGGAATCCATCATTTCAGAGGAGAAAGAGAGATTGCAGAAATTAACTTATGTAGAAAATGAAATTTTGAAGTAACAGGAGAAGTTTTACTGGAGCAAAGATAGCTCCTTGGGAGAAACAAGCTTTGGAGGCCCAAGCATGAATCAGTCTGCTGAGAAGCCTGAGATTCTATAGCCTCAGTGCATTTGAGGATCTGAGACAATATTCTTTGGAGGGAATGAAGTTATCTGGCAAGATTTTGGTAACACCAAGAAAATATCTGAAGTATTTTAACAACCTTAAGAAAGTATCTTATTCCTAGAAAAAAACAAGAAAAAAGAGAACCAATGAAGTAATTAAATCCATGATATTGGTGTTTGAAAATAGATATAACGACAGTCCACAAGAAGGCAGTGGCACCCCACTCCAGTACTCTTGCCTGGAAAATCTCATGGATGGAGGAGCCTGGTGGGCTGCAGTCCTTGGGGTCGCTAAGGGTCGGACATGACTGAGTGGCTTCACTTTCACTCTTCAGTTTCATGCATTGGAGAAGGAAATGGCAACCCACTCCAGTGTTCTTGCCTGGAGAATCCCAGGGACGGGGGAGCCTGGTGGGCTGCCGTCTATGGAGTCACACAGAGTTGGACACAACTGAAGCAACTTAGCAGCAGCAGCATAACAACAGTAAATCTTTTAATCATTGCCTTTGTGATTCTTTTTTGTACTATTTACAGTGTATTCCAAAGAATCATCATATTAAATTTGTAATTGCAGTTTAGATTTTTTAAGGAAATTTAATCAACTCTGCAATCAATGTTTAAATATTAAAATGTGGATGGGATGGGGTGGCAGATGGGAGGGAGGTTCAAAAGGGAGTGGATATATGTATACCTATGACTGATACATGTTGAGGTTTGACAGAAAACAAAATTCTGTAAAGCAATTATTCTTCAATAAAAATTTTTTTAAATATTAGAATGTATTTTTCAAAGTTCTGTTTATAGATATATGTTTAGTAAGTCAGGCATTAAGTAAAATATTGTGGGGTGTCCTCTCCAAGGACAAAAATTTTCCTCAAACTTTAAAAACTCTGTCAACAATGAGCATAATATGTGTCCACAGTAAGCATAGAAAAATAGCTGAAAGAGTGGACATCAAAGTATTAGCAAGGATTATTGCTATGGAGTGGGAAAAAGTGTAGAAGAGACTTTCATTTTTTACATCCTTTAGAATTTTTCAAATGTTTAGAGAAGCATGAGTTATTTTCGTAATCTCAAAAATTTAATCTTGAACAAGATTCAAGGTTATAAGATAAATGCTATCATAAAAGCAGTAACTTATAATCGAGTGTGGCTATAAGGGAAGCCCCAAAACTGAAGTTCCAGCTTTCTTTTCTAAATGAAATTCAGAAAAATTGAAATATGGTGGATAAGTCATTACCTGTAGCAATAGCACAAGCCTAATAATTTTCTTGCAGTTTAAAAGTGTGATTGAGGGACTTCCCTGGTGGTCCAGTGGTTCGGACTCTGAACTTCCACTGCAGAGAAGGCAAGAACTAAGATCCCACATGCAGCACAGTGCAGCCTAAAAAAATAAAGCAAACCCAGGACATTTTCCCTACTTTTGGTTTTCTATTTGTTTTGTTTTTCTTTTTAGAATTTTAAAAATGAACTCTTAGTTGCTGCATGTGGGATCTAATTGCCTGATCAAGGATGTCTTAACCACTGGACCACTAGAGAGATCCTCCCCTCCCTCTTTGAATAGGAATGACTAGGTTACCTTATGCCTTTTCCACCCTTGTATAGGGGATGGGGGAGGTGGGGAAGCAGTTGATTTCCTCTTTAGTTCCCAGATCTTCAGAAGGAGAGGAATTTCACTGGAGAAACAATGCTTAAGGATATATATTTGAGAAGCCTCATCTATGCCTGAACCTGATTTAGATGATGGAATTCTGGAATTCAGGGCTTCCCTGATAGCTCAGTTGGTAAAGAATTCGTGTGCAATGCAGTAAGACCCCAGTTTGATTCCTGGGGCGGGAAGATCCCCTGGAGAAAGGAAACGTTACCTGCTCCAGTATTCTGGCCTGGAGTCAGAATACAGTCCACGGGGTTGCAAAAAGTCGGACACAACTGAGTGACTTTCACATCACTGGACTTCAGGCTGATACAATAATGGGATTAGATTTTGGGGTGCCTTGAGAGGGGATGGGTGTATTTGGCATGTGGGAAGAATATGAATTATCGGGGGCCAGAGGGCATACAGTGGTAGCCAGGTTCCAGAGCAGCCCCCAGGGACCCATACTTCATGGTATTCATGCCTTTGCATAGTCTCCTCCCAGATTGTATCAGAGTTGGTCTTTGTAACCAATAGAGTATGGCAGAAGTGATGGCATATGACTTCTGAAGCTAGGTCCTAAAAGATGTCTCCTGCATGTCCTGCATTGCAGATAGATTCTTTGCCAGTTGAGCTACCCGGGAAGCCCCTTACTCAGCTATTTCTCCCTTATTAGTACCAGTTACCAACCTTGCTTATCTCTTTTGTTGCAGAATGAAACTCCAAGTGTTGAAAAAGAGAAGACTGAACCAAGTCCATGGAAGTGCTATTAGAAAACTGATCAATCAGCGAAGCGTTAACAAATAACACAGATGTAGCAAGAAGGATGGGCTTCTCTGGTGGCTCAGATGGGAAAGAATCTGCCTGCAGTGAGGGAGACCTGGATTCAGTCCCTGTGTTGGGAAGATCCCCTGGAAAAGGAAACAGCAACCCGATCTAGTATTCTTGCCTGGAGAATTCCATGGACAGAGGAGCCTGATGAGCTGCTGTCCATGGGGTTTCAGATTCGGACACAACTGAACAACTAACACACATACACAGTAAGAAGGGTCACCCACCTGAGATAATTCAGACAGGGGCTAACCAGGGTTTTAGGGCAAATAGTCAACAGGTGACACATTGGCCACAAAGGGACAGGCGTGGCTTGTCTTTTTCCACAGCCATTATCTATGCACAGGAGTCTTTTCCAGTCCCAGGCTTTGTGGCTCAGAAATCCAAAACTAAGGCTCAAGCAGAGTAGGGCCAGCTGAAATTGTGGAAGAAAGTATCAGGACCTTAACCTATGTTTCCATTGTATTTTACAAGTATTAGTACATCAAAGTGGGACCCAGCTATGTAACTTAACTGATTATAAATATTGCTCCTAACAGTCATGGGAGAAAGGTAGCAGGGGACAGAAGGTCAAAGAGATTGCTGAGTATTCTGTGCTGTGTGATGTGGTTCCTCCAGTAAACCTTCCGGACCTTCCATAAATGTTCTAAAATACTTGATGTGATGTGATCTGATGTGAACCAAATTTTGCATCTAAGTTTGTTCAGGAGCCATCCCCATGTTGGGAGTTGGGGTCAGAGGCCAGAGTTATACTGAGACGAAACTGAGTCTTCTGTGGAAGACATCCACATAAATTTAGGGAACCTTTTGGACTTCTCTAGGCTTTGAAAATTTGAAAGGATCATCCTCTACTCTGTTTCTTTGCTGAAACAGTGTTCCATTATCCACTTGAAGGATTTATATTTGGGGTGATTATAAATAAGACTACTATAAAGATTTGCATACAGGAATTTGTTTCCTCATGGATAAATACCTAGGAGTGAGATTGCTGGATCATATGGTAAGTGTGTGTTTAACTTCATAAGAAACCCCTCAACAGTTACAAATAGTGGTTATCATTTTGCATTGCCACCAATGAGGAAATAAACAAAGATTGCCCAAATGAGAACAAGCAGGCTGTTTACTCAGAGCTCACTATATAGCAAGGGAACCAGCCGTTATCACTCACGTTTGGCAAGCTTTATAGTAGGAAAAAAGGGAAGATTTCAGGTATTTCTTGATTGGAAGCTGTTGGCATGGAAAGGTTGTAGGTGAGCTGGATAGAAGGGGGGCATCCTGTGTGATTGGTTAGGGGAGCAAGTATGTCTTTCTCTGGTTCATCTGCAATTGGAAACAGGGGCAAAAGAGAGGGAAGCTGGCAGTTACTGAGCAAGTCTTGACCGTTTGGGTCCAATTGCTGCAGAGGTGTGGTTTGACTTCTCTGGCTGGTTGCTTCAGAAGTTGTAGGTCATAGCTCTCTTTATATGACTCTGGTCATTGCCTTTGTGTCGATTCAGTCTCTCACTAGCAGTTCCAGTTTCTGATTTATTATTATTATTTTTTTTTTGAGGAGGGTTCCAGTTGCATTGCATCCTCGCCAGTACAGCTGGCTGAGATGGGGTGACTGGTGACGGGGAGTGTTGGCCATCCTAGTAGGTATATAGAAGTATACCATCATGG